TTTCAGTAAAGGTCGGGAATGCTTCATTAAGCTGCAAGCAATTAAAGTGAGAAAACATTAGCTCCTGTAGCGGGAGCACTGTGCACCCTGAATACTGATGTTTACTGTATGACTGGAAGATTAATGGTAGCTAACCTTAGCCTTTACGGCTAATGGATGAATTCAGCTGCGAGTGGAGAACGACTGGTATAGTTTAAACTGAGCTCATGTGACTGATTTGGTAATTAAATAAAATTCCACTCATTATGTTGAGTTATGTTTTTTCAGTCCTGCTGCATTTCCCTAAAATCTGAGGCTTATGTATAAAAACAGTGTGAACCGTCAACCATTCTTACAGCTGAAAGCACTTTAACCTCTTAATAACAGTTTAATAGATTTTTAAATCAGCTGCAGCACAGAAGATGAATTTTAAAACAGCTTCGAGGAACCAAAAAAAATCTTGATCTTGAAATATCCATAAATGTAAGACTTAATCAGGGGTCGTCAGTTTAATAAATTATATAAAAAGGGTTGCTTAATAAGGTAAAAGGTTGGGAACCAGTGGATTAGACGAACCTGGATTGATTTATGTAAACATTAATGGCGTCAGCTATCTCACCTAGCACCGCTCAGAGAGGTAGCGGCCCGCTACGGCTGCCGGCTGTAGTTCCTCAGGGTTCCCGCTCTTTATAAGAGATCATTTTCCAGGACATTTTCCAGGACTTTTCTTGATAACACAGGACAACACTGGCACACAAACAGTCATATGATTTACCGGTAGCCCTCTTGGTGTTCACCGTTTATAGTTTTCTTCTAATTCCTCTCGTTCAAGTAGAATTTACTTTATTTCACAGAAAATTCCTCTTTTAGAAAGTGAAAGTGTTTGTTGCACGTATAGATAACATCACTGTGCATGTACTTATCAACCACAGCAACACTTTTGATTATTTATAGGCTGCATGCAAACAGGCATTTCCATTTCCAGGATATTTGCTCATTTTAATCAATATCCAGGTGTTTCCATGATTGAAAAACAGGTTTTCCAGGATGGGTGGGAACCCTGTTTCTACATGCAGCTTCTCACAACAAGGTCGGTAGATTATCTTTAGTCATGATTTCAGGAGAAAGAGACTGCTGTCGAGAGAAGGACGACAGAAAGCAGGTGAACTGTCCCTTTAAGGTTTTTATGGGACCAGATGGAGACTTTATCTCAATATGACTTCAGACCCCTGATCCACAAACATTCAGGAATGCAAACAGATTAGGTCTCTTCTTGAAATGATTCAGCATCAAAATATTTCAAGGTAACATCACCTGAGCCGAGCGAACAGCCTCTTTGTTGGATTTCAAAGTGTCCATGAAACACGATGGCAATGTGAGAGCTAAGTACACATTTTACAGTTATTTGTTTGGCCTTTATGCTTTTATTGATAGAAACAGCCAATGATTGACAGGAGAGGGGGTCAGAGAGAGAAAGGATGACATACAGCAAAAGGCCGCAGGTCAGATTCAAACCCGGGCCACTGCAGCAACTCCGTACATGGATCGCCAGCTCTACCGACTGAGCTAACTGGGCAACCACACATTATACGCTTTCACCTTAGTACACCAGCGACTGTGTACAAGAATGTACCGCTGACAGCACAACTTGTGCTGCGACGTGTGTTGTTGCTCTTTTATGGCTCAAATAAACTGCTACTATAACTGATACACAGCTGAAACTGTCCATTTAAAAACCACCTGAATCGACCAACTAAACGCCCTGTAGGACTGAGAGTGGTCGCTGCTCGGTACGTCGATGGCGTCATATCCACTTTGGCCTAGCTCCAGCGAGTCTGCCAAATGTCATACACTTGCTGTTATCCAAGTCTGAGCACCAATTTTTAACCAATCCACTGTTTGATCTGCTTTTTAACTCTAGTTGAACCGGATGAAGGATTTTTAGTCATCGACGCTACGATCTTAAGTATATCAGAGAAAAAAACTGAGCACACGTAGCACAGCCTCGCCGCACCCCCCCCGGCACGTCCTTCGGTCTGTCCAAGCGGGGCAAACAGATTTTTTAATCGTGAACACTTTATTCACTTGTAGTTTTAACTCACAGGGCTCTGTTTTGGAAGAGGAAACTCTGGTGATAATTGTTCTCCGTAAAACCTCCTAACCATGAACACGAAGAATCTAAACCAACGGGAACGACACGGGAGCAAGACCAATGGTGGAAGACAACAACTCCCATAAATCCAATCTTCACCTACCCTCCTCTACTTACTTTGTTATTGATTTGGATGAGAGCCTCTAGTGGAAGGATTGTACTTAATCGCCTGAGGCATCCACAGAATATCTTTCCCCTCACTGCTGAGAGATGCCTCGCCATCTTAGCTCTTTAAAGTTTAGTACATCTAGCATGATACAATTCAGGTCACCACTTGAATAAACAGCCAGCCAACAAAAGAAAACTCAGGGCCACAAAACTCCACCAGTCTCTTGCTGTTGGCACTAAACATAATGCCTCAGATAAAAA